TAATAATTTTGTTGTTGTTTCTAATTATATGCCATAAAACTATACTTCAAATGATTCTTTATCTTCTCTGATCAGCCTCATCCACAAATGGCTCAGTGGTAGTCATGAAGGCTTTTAACTCTAAAATCCAGATTTCAATACCTGTGTTAGGCAGCACAGAACAGCTTAGATATTTTTTTCACTTAAAGAAACACTTAAAAAGTCAAATAATTGCCAAAATAGAAATGTAAATAGCCAAAATTCAGTTCAAGATTTTATTAGTTGAGTAGAGATGAGCAACTTAGTCAAACATAGTTATCCCAGGATGGAGAACATTGCAGACATTAATGCTGTGTTATTGTTTGTACAATTAAAACTGATACTGTAATCTAATGTAAGGCTTGTAAAAAAAAAAGTATATTTATAGGATGTGGGAATAAGTTAGTAAATTGGATAGAAGAGTGTCTGGATGGACGAAAGGTGAGAGTTGTTACAAATGGAATTCAGTCAAACTGGATTAATGTCACAAGTGGGGTACCTCAGGGTCAGTCTTAGGACCTTTGCTCTTTTTCATTTACATCAATGACATAGAAGAAGGAATAGTCAATAAATTACTTAAATTTTCAGATGACATTAAGGTCTTGGGTGTTGATAGCTGTGAAGAGGATGCTACTGATTTACAAAAGGATTTAGATCATTTAGTGAGTTGGGCAAATATATGGTAGATGAGTTTTAATTATAATAAATGCAAGATAATGTATGTGGATTATCATAATTTTGAATTATAAGTATAATTTAGATGGAAATAACCTTAACAGTGTTATGAAGGAAAGGGATCTTGGTGTAATAGTCAATCAGTCTCTAAAGCCATCCAAGCAATGTGCTGTTGCTAGTGGTTGGGAAAATAGGATTTTAGGTTGTATCTATAGAAATATTGAATACAAGTCTAAAGAGGTTATAATTTCATTGTACAGGTCACTGGTTAGGCCACAATTGGAATATTGTGTTCAGTCTTGGGCTTCTTACCTTAAGAATAACATTGAATTGTTGGAAAGGTTCAGAGAAGGGTTACTAGAATAGTGCCTGGGATGGAGAGGTTGTCATACAAGGAGAGGCTGAAATCTCTCAAATTGTTTTCTCTGGAAAAAAGAAGAGTTAGGGGGGATGTAATTGAGGTGTTTAAGATTGTGAAGGGAATTGATAGTGTTGATGTATCATCTTTTTTCATATTTAACAGTGAGAATAGTAGGAGACACAAATATAAATTTTGGCAAGGTAGGAGTCATGGGTTGCCTTGGGATGTTTAAGTGAGTTTAAGAAACAGCTTGATAAGTATATGAATGATAAGGACTGGATTTAAATTATTATTATTTAATTATTTCAATATAGTTTAGAGGATGAAACAGTCGAGATGGACCAATAAGTCCCATGTTGGTACAAAATGTCATGTTAACCAATGGTAGTAAATTTTACATAATTTGCACAGTGCACACTGTGGGTTGAGGTTGCAAGTGATATCAGGGTGGTTTGCTGGACAAGATGCAGTGAAACATAAATATATCTTATTTTTAAAATTGTTTGTAAGACCACTACTAGATTTTACCAGACTACATTAGAACAGTACCCCTCCAGTTGAGCATGGATGGCAGAAAATTTCCTAGATGTTTAATAGCAAAGTGATCGATAAATGTGAAATGTGCCTAAGGTTAAAATCTTGTGAGGAAAATAGGGTTTAGAATTTCATGATGCATTTAAAGGTAGTGTTGTGAAAAAAACAGTTAGGCTAACTTTAATGATAGCATACATTCACTTTACAGTGTTTGGTGCTATAATTTTGAAATATCTTGGAGCTTTAATTCCATACTGGAGATCAAAGAAACTAGCCTGTAAACAGTTTTTTTATGGTATTAGGGATGCTAAGTGAAATTAGGAAATATGTATATACATAGTCTTACATATTTTTCAATTGTATTTACAATACAATTAAGATTATTACTTGAAGCTACCATTTAATTCTCTTGATTATGGTATAGAGTCAAACAAAATATATTGATATAAAGTTGAAGTGGTATTTACTGCAAGTGCCTATTTCATAATATTGAGATGGACTTTTTTTTGTTGATGAAAGGTGGCGTTGCTTCCTTGTTTGAACTGGTACTTTAAGTGGCTGTTTCATAATATTAGTTAGGATATTTTTTATGTTTCAGGAGAGTGATTATGTTGATGACAGGCGGCACTGTTTCCTAGTCCAAACTGGTCATTCCCAGTCTCGGTATTTTTCTGCAGAGAGTAGGACAGACCTTTTGAGGATAGAAACAGCGTGGAATCGAGCTATTTACAATGCTGTTACAAAACTAGGGGTAAGCTTTACATAAACATACAAGAGAGAGAAGAGATAAGTAGAGGTAGAAGTTCAGTGAATAGCTGGAACGAAAGTAGATATAGGGAGTCAATATATGGTTGTAACCAAAATAGTGATACAGGAAGTAAAAAGTGTCTGTTCGTGTGTTTCTTATGTAACCACCACCCAGTGGCAGAGCGGTATGTCTGCGGAATTACAATGTTAGAAACCAGGTTTTGATACCCGTGGTGGGCAGAGCAAAGATAGACCATTGTGTAGCTTTGTGCTTAACTACTGTTATGACAGCGGAAGTCACATGATGATGCTCACGCATGCGTGACTCTACAAGCAAACAAACCTTATGTAACCTTGACTTTTAGATTTTTAGTTTTTTATGTAATATACTCCGTGGTTTTGTGAAAACACTAAATCATCCAATACTTGATAAATAGTGAGTAATTTCTAGTAAGTTTTAAAAGGCATCATTAAATTATATAATGATTTTGTGTACTTTCCAGTTTAGTTTTTCTAACTCATAAACTTTACAGATATATTCTCAGCTTTAATAAATAATGTATTTAACATGAAAGTGATAATTTAAGCTTTTTTTGGACTTAAGTATGCACACTAGTGACGTGAACTAATATGCTGATGTTAATTTAATTTACAGCTTGCAGAAATTAGAGTTTATTCATGGTGCTATAAATAATTTAGATACCATTCCAATTCTTTTCTAAGTCCGTAACCACAGATATGTTTAAAATCTGTTAATATCTTTCTTTTTTTTTTTTTTGGCTTAACATTATTAGAGTAAAACTTTCTCTGTTATATACAACGGGAGAACTGGAGGGCTGACTCTGGATTGGACAATGGGGTTTGCCTTATATGACACAGAAGCAAAGGTAAGGCAGCTGTTCTTCAGTAATTTGTAAAATGTTATATCTTTTGAATATTAAATATGGCATTGATTCACGGTCTATAAACAGTATTTTTATAACTTGATAACTATTCTTGTGATTGATGTGAAGAATTTGTGAAACTGGATTTAGCTTTAGAAGATGAAACAAGATATTTAGATAGATGCTAATAAATAAAGAGCACTAAACCTTGAATATTGTTGTCATTAGTAGCCTATAAGTATAATTATAAGTATAATTATTAATTAGTATCTATTATACTAAAAATGGTTTGATATTTGTATCTACAGGTGGAAACTTGTATGTGTTTTTGTAACTATTATATAAATGTATGTATGTACATACATCATATATATATATATATTATGGGTTCTAGTACTTTAACCTTCTTAGAATTTCAAGTATGTTCAAATAGGTTTTTGACTAATTAGTAATTAGTGTTACCCTACATATTGGATGCTAATTGACTACCATCTTCAGAGAAGTCTTGACAAGGACTATTTCTGTGTTAGTAGTGGTTGGATTAGATCCTTAGTCTTTGTGATGGAAATCTGGTGTGATATCCATTCAACTAGGGTCTCCAACATTTATAACTTGAATCAACTAACTAACTGAAGGTTTTACAAGAGAGGTATCTAGGTTTTACTGACTTCTGTGCTAGGTTGACAGAGTGTGTTATCAATTTGGTAGATGTGTTAGGCTTTTTTTATCATTTTGTTTCTTGTGTGTGTGTGTGGTTTATATCCTATTATTTTAAAATCATTTCAATATAATGTATGGTCTTCTTCTATGATGTAATGGGATATTGCAGATATATCAGTAATACAGTCTTGTGTGGCAGTTATGTTCCTTGGCCATTTTGTTTCTTGTGTGTGTGTGTGGTTTATATCCTATTATTTTAAAATCATTTCAATATAATGTATGGTCTTCTTCTATGATGTAATGGGATATTGCAGATATATCAGTAATACAGTCTTGTGTGGCAGTTATGTTCCTTGGCCATTTTGTTTTTTGAGTGTATTGGAGTCCACATTCACAGGAATGTTATGTGTTTTCCCTTTCCATGGGGACTTTAGGTGGTTTGGTGTGAACTACTGCTATTTTATTGTAACCTTATATTGTGATTACTTTGCTAATTTATGTTGTTCACTTATTTTATCTTTTTGTGAGAGACCTGTGACATAGGGTTATGTGTCTATAATTAGCCATGGCATAGCGTGGCTTGCGCACATTTTTTTTGAGTACAAGCTTTTAACTCATAGCTGTATCTCTTGACCGATTTGAGATCTAATTACAGTCGTGGCTATTGAGGACTCCCTCTTGTTTTTTTCTTATTGATTTGTTGGAAAAGAAATCATGACAAGATGGTTACTATGATACATAACATAGGTAATACCATAGAAGCTTACAGGAAACCCGTAGATATAGGTAAATACCTTGACTGTAAATCAAATCACCCTAACAGTGTAGAGACAGGCATTACAGACTATCTACTCTCCAGAAAAAACATTTAAGATACCAAAGAAGCTAAAAGAAGAACACATTACAATAACCCTCCTTGACAACAGATACCCAGAACACTTGATAAAGAAGACAAGTTGTGAATATGTAGCAAGATGTTGTCTGTTCAGGGAGTTCTTGAATCTTGTCTGTAGTGTGTGTGATCATATTACAAATATATCATGGTGATAGGGTGAGTCCATGTCTAGACCTTGCTGTTGGTAATATTTATCTTGAAAGTAGGTCGTATTGATACAGAAGGATGCAAATTCTATTATCGTGACCTTAATGTTTCCAAAAAATATTAAATGGTTTTTGTCTTTTTCTAGATTACATTATATTTGAATTTCATGAGCAACTATAGTGAAATTTTAAAAGCTCCTTGCTTTAGCAGTGGTGCTATTAGAATTTAATCTTCCTCAATGATTTCAGATAACTTGAGGCTCAGTTGTAGTGTAGAACTTAAAAACAAAATCAATAACCTTTGTATGTACTAATAAATAGATCGTCTCAAACTTTTAAAGAATTTTAATACTTAATCAGTTTTGTGAAAATATTCTGATTACTTTGATTTAATATAGTAGAAACATATTTATATTCCTTTTAGGTTTAAAAGTGTTTAGTGTAGAGCTATGTTTGCACTTTATGTGTTAATGTAAAACTTAACTGTCTATAACCACGTTTATATATTTGCCTTAAAAATTAATAAATATGAAATTATACCACATGTAAAATTCAGAGTGTATACAATAGTAAAACGTGCTGAGCAACGTTCAGTTGTTTTTGCTGGCTGATTCATATATGTAATGAGTAGCATATAAACTTTTTTTTGGGCTAGACCAAACTAAACTGCTATTTTGCCAAATACCTTTGATAAACCTTTCCATTTCAGCATCCGATGAAAATTTTCCAAATTGTGGTAAAGAAAATTTTCAGATGATAACATGCTATTTGCCAGACACAAGCATTGTTTTTTCTTATATGCAGTAATTAAAAAATAAGAAAGAAAACTAACTATTTTGTCTTTTACTATACCTTAAAAGATATGACAATTCATGCCAGTAATCGATGAAATTTAGAATTAGTTGTTGCAATTTGTAAGCTATACATACCTAATTATGAAAGCTTGAAGTTGTAATGAAAAAGGTGGTAAGCGCATAAGCACACTAAATCTTTAGATTTAGGTCTTGGGAAGTGCAGAATAGCAAGGCCTGGCTTTTCAGTTATATCTATAATAATTTGGAGTATTTATTAAAAGAATAATAATTAAATTGTGTAATATACTGAAAACTTACTTGACTGGTGGTGAGGCCTGGCCATGGCCTGGTGGTTAAGGTGCTCGACTAGCAACCAAGGGTTGTGTGGTCAAAACCCCTTGCCAAACATGTTTGCCCCTTTTAGCAATGGGGGCATTATAATGTAACAGTCAATCATATTATTCATTGGTAGAAGAGTAGCCTAAAAGGTGGTAGTGGATGTTGTTGTCTAGCTGCTTTCCTTCTAGTCTATCACCTCAAAATTAGGGACACTGTTAGCACAGATAGCCCTTCAGTAACTTTGGATGAAATTCAACAAAAGCAAACTTGACTAGTTGTATCAGTTAATACATGAGGTGTGGGCAATAGTTTATTTTTGTTTGTTTTTTGTTTCTCCACATCAATGTTTAAGTTTCATCCATCATTTTATTTCCCTCAAGTTGGGTAAACTTTAATTCATAGTGTTTTACACTATTGTTTGTTTTTAAAAGTCTGGGTTATTTTTTCCTTCATTTTATTTCCCTCGGGTTGTGTAAAGTTTAATTCATAGTGTTTTACACTATTGTTTGTTTTTAAAAGTCTGGGTTATTTTTTCCTTCATTTTATTTCCCTCGGGTTGTGTAAAGTTTAATTCATAGTGTTTTAC